ATCTAAGAAGATAAACCCAATTTCTATAATGTGGTAAGAACATTGATCTAATTCAATCACAAACCCACTGAAGTATTCTGAATCTTTATACAGGCCAAGCACTGTGCCATCTTCATGACTTCAAACAAAATTACTATGTAGAAAATTCATTAGACCCTCTAGTTAAATACAACACCCCTAAGATAATGCTTTGCCCAAGTGTTGTTTGGGCTGCATGTCTGAAACCCAAAGTTTCTGACGCGCAGCAAATCAGATTGCTGTAACCCTTGTTAGCCTCAGCTTTCAGAGCCGCTGGTTTTCTCTGCATGTTTCCTCAGCCAGTTCCCTTTTGGAGGAATGGAGAGTTGGAGGTTTTCGGCAGTGAAGATGCGCTTCTTTTTCATTTTTGGGCTAGGCAGATTGATAAAGAGGAAAAATAATTTAATAAGGAGAGACTGTTTTTGGCCAAATGCCCCGACAGATCTCACACTTGGAATTTGTGATTAGCCGCAAGTCCCTCTCTTGGGCAAGTGTTTTGCACGACAGAGAGAGACGGGTTAAGTTTGAAGAAACTTGGGCGTGATTGCAAGGGTCCGACCAAGCCCAAGTGTTTCAGGCCTGGATGAGTGAGTGCAAAAGGTTGCCAATGGATCAACTATCAACCAAAAGAACAATTTGAGAGGTGTACTTCAGTTTTTTGTCAAGTTTGATATGAATGTTGGAATAGAAAGATTTCAGCTGAGGAGGATTTGGAGTTGACAACAAGTTGAGATTGAGTGACATTGAAATTTGGAGAACAACTTACAATTAAGTTTAAAAAATACATTCAAACAATACAGGTTTAAGAGAAAAACTACATTGCAAAATACATCACTTTCATACAACATCACATCAACTTACAAAAAACTTGGTGCATCAGGAAAAAAAGTTTCATCCAACTCCAAAAGATAAAAAATAAAGAGGATATTGTAGAACCCAGAAGCATACTTGATCAAATGGGTAATGTTCATATGTTGTAAAGTCTTTTGATGAAAATATCTGAATTGAGTCTCATTTCAGGTTTCTTCTATGCAATAAACAACCTTGGCAAGTTGGAACGCAAAAAAATGAAGTGGCAAGGATATCCTGATGTTGAACTTCAGCAGATGATTTCTATCTGTACGGACGCTTCATCAATAGTGGATCATGTATCACTTCCTTCAATTGATATTACAACACTTCTCTTATGTCTAATTTTCAGATATCTCTATTTCCTTTTTCTCAATCAATGTGGTAGACTAACAATCTGATTTACTTTTACTTCACTGGAATGGAAAATCTATCCAGAGAATCAACAATGAGTGGGAGGAAGAGAAGAAGTTTAAATCCAATGACACACCTGGTTATTTGAAGGCTACCAAGCGCTCAGGAGTTTGATCAGTTTCATGCTTCAAAGATGGTTAGCTAGATCTAGGAAAATTGAGAATTGATTTGAATTCCTTAGCTTTTCCTGAAGGATGATACCCTATGGAGTTTTATAAGAATTTGTGCCATAGGGTTGCTTGCATAGAGAGTTAGGGAAGTGCTTGGAGTATAAAATTTGAGCAACTCACAACTGTACTTCCCCACAGTACAGCTTGTAAGCACATTCTGACATCAATTTCATGGCTTTGTTGATTATAAGAGTGTTGGTTTGGTGCCAGGTTTGATTGTATCAATTGATATTATGGGGGAAGTGAGCCAAGATGAATTTAGGGAGTGAGCCAAGATAGAAAATAATAGAATGGTAGATTACCACCAAGCTCGCATTAGTACTATAAATTCCATTATGTCTGGTATCAGAGGTGCCAGGAGCTGTCAAAACCCAAGGAGTTATTGGGTTTTTCAGCCATGGAAAAAGGACGGGTTAAGTTTGAACTTCTGGACCCAAACTTATGTGGTTGCCAGTCAAGTGTTCACAAGGAAATTTAAATCAGTTAACTTCTGGCCTGTAGAATGGCCCCCATACGGGCCTCACCTTTGAACTTTTAGGAACATTATTATGCCTCCCTCTAATAACAATACCCAAAGTCAATCATCAAACCAATTTGTTGGCACCTAGGCCTGTTCCATCATTTGAAGAGCTCCTCATATTTGCTTCAATTGACCTGGATAATTGAAGAACTCAAGACTTGTTGACAGAAAACCATATTGTCAATTTCAATATGTTTCTTTCTTCTCACCTCAATATAGAGAAGTAGGAAACCGTGGGGTTTGGTTTTTGAAGCTACTCTTTGGCTCCATGTGAATGCCCCTTTGTATCAGGACTATCTTGAAAGCTTCAGGTTTCCAAGTTTCTGATTCAGCCTGGATAACACAAAAGAATTGTACTGAAATTGGTTTCTAAACATCATATTATCCTTCTCAGCTTCAGTATGATACAATATCTATTAACAATTTCCTCTTCTTTTGGAGTTTTTCAACACTCCATATCTGTGTATCCTACAAACCAATATGGGACCAAAGAAAAAAATTATGTGCCTGATTACTCTACACACATGTGTTTAGCCTACTTCTAATTTGACGGAACGTTTGCAGAGCAATGTGGTTGTGAAGTTTGCAAAAAAACACCAAACTCTGCGAGAAAGCTGACACAACAGGCAGGCAGAAATCTAGCCGAGAGAAGATTTTAAAAAGACTCTGACTACTGTGTGTAGCTTGAGCAAGCCTACCACTTTTTCTTTGGGTCTAAGGGATATTTGTCAGGGTACGTGGGTATGGAGCATTGAGAAAGTCCCCGCCACATTTTTCTGGCTCACACGTCAATTTTTATGTATGTATAGGGATGTTACTAGCAATGAAGTCTTTGAATGATTCATTGACGTCCTGAGTATCAAACTATAACGTATCATGAAGCTTCTCAAGATGATGATGTACTTTGTGTAATTCCTTTAAAGGTTTGATCAAGAGGAAAATCCAAAAAGCACAAGCATACACACTTATAACGAAAAACCTTGGAAACTGTTTCAAATTAATTTATGAAATGTTATAAAACGATATGGTTTCTTTGACTTCCGAAGTCAGTTTCTCGTTTTGAAGTCTTGGTGACCTTTGATGAGTATGTAGGATTGGACTTTGTTTTGTGGTTATCGGTTACGAACTTCGATCGATGTATGTATGCATAGGTAAAGAGACAGTCATCAATTCTCATCGAATCGATTTCATTTTTCTTCGTTTCGTTGTTTTGCAATTCAATTAGCTTTAAATTCTTGAGACTCGTCAAGTTTTGCTTGAGTTTCTTTATAAAGATCGAAGAAGATATCTAATTTGTTTTTTTGGTACCTTTAAACATCAAAAGATTTATAAACCAAGATTTATTGAGAAGACATAATTCATTAGATTTGATAAGTAGAGCAAAAAGCATTCAAAACCAATTCTTTTTTCTTTCTAGACACAACTTTTTTTTTCTTTTGCAAAGAGGTTCCTTAGGGCCAAGGTTTTGATTGAAATCGTTCGACTCCCAATCCAATTTTTTCTACCTTTTGGGGGCAAATCAAATCGAACCGATTTCAAAAACCTTTCAAATCCACTTCTTGTCTTTTCTTCAAATCACCTTTTTCTATTCCTGATTGTATTTCACTTTCAAGCAGTTTTAACCTCCTCTTTGTATCAGATCTCATTTCTCAACTTTTGCTTTTATCTCTCGTCTTGTTTCAAAATCCAACTCGAAGGACAAACCAGGAGGAATATTTGGAAAACCCAATCACATCAAAAAAAACTTACGTAAGTACAGAATCTTGATCGATTTTTTATATAAATTCTTTCTCCACACTCTCTTTCTCTTCTCTTTCTCTTTCTCGATATCTTTCATTTATCTGATGATTAAAGTACATATACACATATGCGTGATGATGTGTATTGAAAGATGCTTTATCCATCGGAGTTGATATCTTACATAAGCTTTTCTTGAATGTGAGAAAACTACAAAGTCTGATGATGGTGAATGGGAATTCAAGTTTTGATAAAGAAATCTAAAACCCACAAATAGGTTAAAATAGTTTCATAAATCATTTCAAACTGTGTAAACCATTTTAATTTTTTCTTGATGATACGAATCATGAGAATCGGTTTACGTAGTTTGAAAGGGTTCTTAGTCAATTTTTTTTGTTTGATTGAAGTGTTTGAATGAAGGAAGCAGTGCAAAAACCTGTGCAATGAAACTTTGATTTAACTAATTGATTTTTTTTTGGTTCAAGTTTTATAACTTACTGCTGATGTGTTTTGATATGTTTTGTGACTGATGATAGAAGATATTTTGATTTTTGATGAAGAGTTGAATGAGATTGTGTGTGCTAACTTGACCTTTTGACGATTTCCATTGATTTTTAACATAGAAATTCGAAATTTAAAGAAATCTTAAAAATTTAAAAGTAACTTAAGCTTAAGTGTATAAATCCATCATCACTTCAAGTCCATTTGGATCGTCATCACCAATACTTTGTCAATCAAACTTCAACTCTTCAACTTCAACAATCTTAAACTTGACTACTACAATACTACCACTAGTACTATAGAAATCTAGAATAGTATTGGACTAGGTTGGTTGGAAGGATATCTAACTAACTTATCAAAATATATTACATCATCATTTCAATTCGAACCACTTACACCTTACTAGCTACCGGTGGTCAAGTCAACAATTCTGAATCGATCGACACCAAAACTACCACAAGAAGGAAACGAAGACAACGACAGAAGACGAGTTTGACTAGATTTCTTAAAAGGTTTACCCTATTCATTTAAACTACTACATTTACTTTCGATTTACACATTTTGCACCACTTCAACTTTTCATCAAATTGAAATCAAAAATCCAATCATCAAACACTAAATCCAATCCAATCCCAGCTGGTACTCAGGATAGAATAGATAGAGAAAGCTTTATACAAACATCAACTTCAACTTCATCAATTCACAACCTCTCTAGACCAATTCCTTTTTGTTTTGGTTGATTTTATATATATACATTCTTTTTCCACCTCAAGTTCACCTTCGTCATCATCATGACTGACCTTCCCGACGAGAATCCAACTACCCCCACTAACACTACTACTGACGCCCACGCCAACTCTGCCACCGATTCTACTCAACCGGCTACCTCTTCCCCTCATCACCTTACCTCACTACTCACCAATTCACCACCTAAACCTGTCTCATCCACTCCTCATCCTACCATCCAACCTTCTGAAAGTCTTGATGTCTCAAGTACTTCTTCCATCACTCCTTCTACTACTTCTTCAATCTTGAACTACGTGGCTTCACCCGAATCGGCTTCTACTTCTACTACTTACCCTTCACTCGAAGCTCAGTTGTTTTCAAAACCAACTACCAATCTTGGGGCTCTGAACTCATTGTCATCCTCTGTTACTGCGAACTCGATCAAGTAAGTTTGATCATCAAATTCATTCATATGGTCACTAACTCAACTTGATCTATTTTTTTCACCTTTAGTCGTACAAATAACGATATGACTCGAGCAGAAGCAATTGGTCTATATCGTACTGGAAATCTATCTAACTTGCCTACAAGACCACAATCTCCTACCAACAGTCGGGATCATCAATCGAATGCATCTCGTGCTAGTTCTGTCTCTTCCACCACTCGTCGTCGTCCTAGGGCTGGTACCATGCCATCATCCCTTCATAATTCAACTCAATCTCCTCTCAGCTTGTTGAATGCTCCACCAAGTGCAAGACCTGAAATTTTAAGACAGTTGAATATGTTGAGTGGCGGGTCTGGAGCGGCTACTGGATTGCTTCCTGGACTTGGGGGTTCTCATGGATTTCCATCATCCGCACAAGGACCTCTTTTATCATCTAATTTGCATTCATCTGCTTCTGATATCAGTGAGTTCAACTTGCATCGGGGTTTCCAAAACTACTTTCAATTCTGATCATCTGACTTGATTTACTATTTTTTCATTGTGTCTTAAGACTTACGATTAACTCTTGATAAAACTCGGGCTCGAGCTGGTACGGTTGCTTTACCACCATCCTCTGCATCTTCATACTTTGGCAGGGGTGTCTTCTCAGCGAATTTTGTACCTAGAACATCAAGAATGAATGAAGAAGTTCGGTCGATGAAATCGGATGATTCAGTCTTTGGAGATAATGAATTGCAAACTGAAGCTGGTCATGTTAGAACTCTTGATTATCTTGGTCTTGATGCCGATTCTCCAATTTCACCACCTAGCTTTGCTTCTCAATTACCTAACCCACCACAATCTGCTTACGCTGGTTCAACATTTTATCAAGTGGTTAATGGTGTACCACATCAAACTCCTTCTACTTCTCATTTCACTCAAAATCAACATGGTCACTCTCTTTCAACATTGGCTAGTTTGGCAGGAAGGATGAGAGCCTCAACCGTTTCAGGAATGTCATCTGCCATCAGACCACCTCCTTCGATTCGCAGAACATCGCCATTTGAATCTCATGAAGATGGTTATGATGACAATGGAGCTGATTCAGCTGGGATGAGAGATGATGATTTCAGTGTGCCTCTTGGTAGTGCTAACTCTATGATCAGTCAATATGCCATCAACACCGGCCGAGTAGGACGTATGATTCATACTGCTGATCCATTGCTTCACCATGAGAGTAGGTGTCGTTTCCGCATCTGATCAGACGTGATACTGTTCAAGAACTTTTGAACTCATTCTTTTGCTTTGTCTCCTTGTAGTGCACGAATCATCTAATCCTTCACCAGTCTACTCGACAATGTTAAGTGCGGGTACTCCAGGAGTTGGAATGCTCAGTAATCGACCTCGAGCTTCCACTCTTGCTGGTGCCTCACTTCTTGGAGCTGGTAGTCTTCCCGGAAGCGGTCAGGTCGGCTTAGGATCCTTGAATGGCATCTCAGCCTCTGTTGCTCGTAATCGAGCAGGCACCATGGCTGGATTATCAAAACATCCTGTCTTTTTGAATTCCCTCAGTGGTGATGGTAATGATCTTGGCTTGAACCATGGATACGGATCAATGGATAATGTAAGTTTGGAGCACTTGTCGCTGCGTATACATCAATGTTGACATCACATCTTGGATAGAACAACTGGATTTCTGGCTCAAGACCCATGACGCCTGAAGGTGGTGTCAGTGGCGGATTGGCGCCAATGCAACAATCTTCACGAAGTTTATGGATCGGAAATTTGGATCCGACAACCTCGGCCCAGGAGCTCATGAGCGTTTTCGCTGTCTATGGTGCCATTGAAAGTTTGAGACTTTTACCCGACAAGGTAAGACGTTTTGAGACTCTTGAAACGTGCAAGGAACTCAATATATTTGATCTTTTTTAGGAGTGCGGTTTTGTCAATTTTGTATCTATACACGATGCTGTTCACGCCAAGGATGATGTTGTCAACCGATTGGGGGCACAAATCAATTTGAAGAATGGACCTACTTTGGTTAGGATAGGCTTCGGAAAACCTGAATCAGCTCCACAGACACCCGCTACCATTGGCACTATGCCATCTAATATGATGACTAGTTCAGGTAGCGCCGGTGGACTCTCACAATCGATGATGTTATTGTCTTTGAACAATTCACAAGGTCCACATGGAGTGGTCACCTCGAGCCAAGTCAGCAATATCAATCCTAGTCAAAGTGGTTATACTAATATTGGTGGGATCATCTTGGGACCTAATGGAGATCCTGTGTTACAATCTTCACCTACGAGAGCACTTTGGATCGGTAGTATTCCTCCTCAAACCACTCCTAATCATCTGATGGAAATTTTCTCACCTTATGGTGCGATTGAATCGGCAAGAGTCTTGACTCACAAAAATTGTGGATGTGAGTCTTTTATCAATTCCAAAATCTCTTTGATCAAAAGGCACTAAGACTTGGACTCTTTGCAGTCATCAATTTCGAACATTTGGATGATGCAGTACGTGCCCGTAAAGCGTTGAGTGGACGTGAGATCTTGGGTGTCGAGGTGGGAGCAGTCAAAATCGGATATGCGAAAGTACCAGTGAAAGCACCTGGTACATTCTCGCCTTCGTCACAGATGGAGTCAATGTCAAATGATCCGATCAACCAACAACTAGCGTATGAAACATTGGCTAGAATGAGAGGAGCTTCAGTCGTACCACTTGATCAACAAATTTTGAGTGGTAGCATTCAAGATTATCGATCGAACCTTGCTATGAGTTTCATTCCTAATGGGATTCATGCCTTCAATGGATTCCCACTCAATGGCGCCATTCCACCTCAAAGTGCTGGACTTTCTGTTGGAAGTGTTGGAATGGGTAACACACCTGGAAGATCAAGCAATAGTCATTATGAATCGTGTAATGGAAGTGATGGGGAAGCAAATGCGAACGCCAATACTTGTTCGGTACCGATGCCAGCTGTGACGGAGATGCAACTCTTGATGCGACAATTGAGTCAACCATTGAAGAAAGAAGGTTCAACAGATGTTCAAGAAGATGAACAAGGATCCAATGAAGAAGATGAAAAGGCAGTCTCTGAATTTAGACCACCGGTGACTTATTATACTACTGTACCACCACCTATCAATCAACTTGATCCGCATCGTCGATTGGTTTCTGCTACTGCTGATCCTCCTAGATTAAGAGAGATACGTAAACGACTTGATAATAGTAACTTAGGCCAAGATGATTTAGATTCAGTGGCTAGTGAATTAATGGAAGAGATTGTTTACTTATCATCAGATTATATTGGAAATACTATTGTACAAAAGGTGAGTTACTATTTTTTTTCTTGATTTTTTTTTCGAGATTGAGTTGTGGTTGATCCTGAATTTTCTTTTCTTGTCTTTTTGAAAAAGTTATTTGAAAAATGCTCACTTTCCGTAAAGATGCAAATGTTAGAAAGATGTGCACCACATTTAGCGATAATCGGATGTCATAAAAATGGAACATGGGCAGCACAAAAGATGATAGATTGTGCTACTACACACGAGGAAATGTCAATTATCAGTCAAAACTTAAGACCGTTTGCACCACCTTTATTATTAGACAATTTAGGAAATTATGTGATGCAATGCTGTTTAAGGTTTGGATCGAATTATAATGAGTTTGTATTTGATTCAATGATTGATAGATGTTGGGAAGTAGCACAAGGAAGGTTTGGGGCAAGAAGTATGAGAACTTGTTTAGAATCTAAACATACAACTCAATTACAAATCAAAAGAGTAGCTATCGCGGTAATTTTAAATTCGATTCCACTTTCGACTAATCCGAATGGAACTTTACTCTTAACTTGGTTATTAGATACATCCAACTTACCTGGACGTTACCGATTACTTGCACCAAGATTAGCTCCACATCTATCGCATTTATGTACACATAAATTAGCATCTGTTACAGTTTTAAGAGTCATTAATCAATCGATCGATCCAGATGCATCTCAAATCATTTTAGATGGTTTATTTCATTCATCTAAATCTGTTTTGGAAGACGTTTTAGGTGATCAAGTTCATGGTGTGAATGTATTGATGAAGATCTTAGGATCACAGTTTGTTCCTAATGATCAAAAAGTGATGATGTCAGAAAAAATCAAAGAAGTGATGATCGCTTTAAGAGTTCAACATATTCCAGGTGAGTCATCTTTTTTTCATCTTTTGATTTAGATTCTGAAGATATTGATTTTATTTTGTTTATTTTATTTTTGGTTTTTAGCTTATAAACGATTAGCAGAAGAATTAGGAATACCAATTAATAATCCTAGTTCTACTAATAATTCAAATAACAATAATAATCATACACCACCTTCTTCGATCTCAGGAATGAATTCGAGTTCTAATCCTTCTTCTCTTACTCCTACTTCAAATCATTGGAATCATCAATTCCAAAATAATCAACTTTCAAATCATCATCCGATTTGGAGTTCTGGAGGTGGAGGTGCTGCTGGAGGAGGTGCTGGTGGAGAGTTTGGGATTCGAAATCCGATGGGAGGATTTGTGACAGGTGGAGTTGGAGTTGGAAATGTAGGGTTTGAGATGAGTTTTGGTTCAAGTTCAGATGAGAATTCTCATTTGAATCATCAGATTAGGTTTTAATTAAGAAATCCATCTTGTTGTGCTTTTTTTGATTTAAATGTGTGTCATGTGAGTGTTTTCAAAAATCTGTGAATGTGTGTGTGATTTTTTTTCTTTTTTTTTGTCGTTTTTTTTTTGGATATGCTTTCCTTTTTCTTTTTCTTTCTTTTTCTTCTCTTTTTTTCTTTTCTTTGAGAGTGTATGATGATTTTTTTGCTTCTTTTCTTTTTCTTATACAAATTGTGAATGATTTTTTTTTTGCTCGTGGGTCAGACTCACATTGTGTGGTTTTCAGAGATGGTAAATATAATATATAGAAATTGGTTCTTTTTTGAGAATAAAAGGTTTTTTTTTCTTTTTGGAAATGGATTCTTTTTGAATGAAAACAAAAAACCATGTAATAAAGGTGCATACACAAACTTGTGACCTGTTGTGAAAACCTATGATAAAAATCATGAGAATTCATCTGGTTTTTGGGTTCTTTTTGATGGGTTTTCTTTAAGTGTTGCCCTTCAAAGAGACTTTCAGCTTGCAGACAGCTCCTGTTATCTCTTGACACCTTTATCCTACTTCACATCTCTTTTCTTGCATTCACCTCAACCATGACTTCCACCACTCTAACTTTTCCTTCCAAATTTAATTGCCTGTTTAATGATAGTGTCTACATGAGATTTGAATGATGATCACAACAATGACAAACCAGACAAAAATATCAGATATCAAGAATGTATTATCATCTTTGCTTATACAGTCTCTTCCATGGACAAGGGTACCTATAACAATCAATCAATAGAAGAAAAGATTGGAAGATGATGATTCAATTCTGGAAGTTCTATTGATTTGTCATTATTGTCATTCTACATATTTTTTTATTGGTTGATTGGTTGGTTTGATTTTTGGCACGACTAAGTGAAGACTTTTTGAGACAAAATTGAGAGCCGGAGAAAAAAGACTAAACTGGGTCCATGATTGATTCATGCCATCTGTTTATTCATATGTAATACTTGAATTAAATTGAATGCTCCAATTTCTCAGTCAAGAGGATCTTTTGTGAGAAAACAAATCACAGACAATATTAAGCACAGAGGAGGCCGTAGACTGGTATAACTTTAAGGCGCCATGTCACTGGTAATTGAGCCTTTCACTATCTGTGAAAGGGAGGAGGGGTGAGGCTACTAAGGGGGGATATCTGGATCCTAAATCAAAGAGCAATTTTGGTAAAAAAAAGTGGCACAGTGAAGCACTTGTTGATGCACCAGCCTAAGAACCTAAGAAACCTAATACAGTCAAGGTAAGCTTGTGGTTACATGATAACCAGTCCAATGGACATGTCCAAACATAGGGCAACATTGCTGCATTCTGTGAGGTGTTTGCACACAACCTGGGTGGAGCAAGTTGCAGTTGTGAGGTGGTTGCTCCCCACCTTGGGCAAAGTGATCATAGCACTACATGTTTTGTGGGTTGAAAGAAATGGGCCATTGGATGTTGGTTCCCTCATCACCTACAGGGTTTTTCATACCCCATTCTGGAGCAGGATGTAGTGATGGACATGTACTTCCCTGTGACCACTACCTGACCCGGTGGGTGGTTGCATCTGAGTTCACTAATTAACACCAAGAAACCTTGAAGTTTTTATCACCATGTCAGGTTAGAGTATGTTCACAAGAGATGGCTTACTATATCATATGTATAGGATCCTTGTATAGACACTTCCCATTTTGGTCCACACAGCCCTTTACAGGCCTAAGTGGGTTTAAAAATTATTTAGGCCTGGATTTTTCATAGAACAGACAATGTGCTTCAACAAAGTCTAAGCTCAACTAAGCCTCTCTTACCCTGACTTTGCCCTGAGACCAGCAGGAAGTTCATTTTTTAGAGCTCTAAACATTGTGCAACCTCACAAAAAAATGAACAGAGCTTCTTATAAGCCTTGAAACCACGCTTGTGCCACTTTTGGTACCATTTTACTGGAGCAAAGTGACACAGTCAATTTGTTGAGTTCTTTTAAATCTGGGTCATATTCAGTATACATGTAGCTTGTGTACCATCCAAAATCACTTGATATAGGAATCAAATTTCCTCATTCTATGAGGGGTGACACTGACAAGCTCAGAAATGTACAAGGAAAATCAGAAAAGCTTGAAGAATCTCTTCTTACTCTATTGCAAGGTTTCACAGCATCTATAGCCCTCAAGAATGGATTTTAAGCAAAAGTGCTTGAAAATCTTGCTGGTCTCAGTTCAAAATTAGGGTATTAGCCCAAAGACACTCTTCAAGACTGGATGTGGCCACATTGGAAGAGAGGTTTAGTTGAGCTTAAAAAAACCCCTCATGTGGCTGCATCTGCACCTTTTTGATGTGCAAGATACATGTGTACAGTGAATATCCATTAGACACTCAGGATGAATGCTGAGCAGGAAAGACCATCAACATAGAGGAAAGCAACATGCAGGCATATCAAATGAACATATACATAAATCCTTTTGAATCACCATTTTAAATCATATTTATGTAGATTATAGATCATTGAAGGATGATTCTTTTAGAAATTCAATTTTACTTGGAAGATTTCAATAAACACTCTTGGATATTTGATGAAATTCTTTGATCATGATATCAAAACCACAAAATATCAAGGAATCGGACGGATACATGTTTCTTGGAGAGTAGCAAAACGGGAACCGTCACAAGACAGGATGGCCGAGTGGTTAAGGCGGCAGTTTTGAATGGTCGTCCATCACGGGAGACACAGTAGCTGCTTCACTTTGTGAGCGTGAGTTCAAACCTCACTCCTGTCGAACGTTCTTTTTCCAGCTCTGTGGATTGACTATGCTTTTGTGTTGTCAAGTTTGTTTTGTAGTTGAGTGAGGAAAAGGTGTTGAAATGTTGTATGTGGTTAAACCCGATGATCACAAACTGCTGTAATTTCGTTGTTAAATTCAATGTGATGTCAGCCTTGAAAAAAGCTGTATGGGGTTTTTGTGTTGTTCGAGAAGTGGTCATTATGTATTGAAGTCGAGATGATCAAGATGAGACCTGAGGTAGCAAGCTAGATAAATCATGAAAATATTCTTTTCGTAATTTAAATTTCTTACTGATTAATGAAAACCGGACCGGTGTGGGTAATGAGTCTTTTGACTCATCCGATTTGTTTCATAAGACCGAGGAAAAGGAAAGGAGATGAAGAAACACTTCGATAATCGCATTGAAAATTTTGAGCCGAGTTCTGATATCTTGAAAGATGGTGATCGAGTAGGATCACTCCAGGAGATCTGCGCCAGTTCAGCAGGCATGGTATTATCGGGGACCAAGTCAAGAATCGACTGGTTTCGCGACCATCACTCTATATGCATCATTATCACCTAGGTACAAGTATAGAATGCTGATGGTTTTCCATCTGATAGGCGAAAAGACATTGAAATGCTATCACTCACAAAAGCAACTACTACAACAAGAGGCAATAAATGATTCTGAAACATCTCATTTGTTTTGACTATACTTTCCTCTTAATTCATTCCCCCCCCAAACACTTGCCTGTATCATCTACCCTGTACTCAGCAGTGTGTTGTTATTTCTGCTACCTCACAAGTATCTCATTTGTTTATCTCCTCTTCTCCTTCATATTCACTCTATTGCAGAGGAGACTATGATATGGGATCTTTCTTTGTAGATCAGACTTTGTTGACAGCATGGATGCTATGACACTTGGTGTGGAAATAACTTGTGGCTTGTTAGTGATTACATGATCATATTTGTTAATCATCATTCCTTTCGGGTAATTGTATGGAATGAAGTTTTTCATATGGAGTGTTATTGAACTCTAAAAGCTCGATACATGTAGAAGAATCACCAGGTTCGAGTGGTTACAAGTTTTACAATGAAATGATTTCGTGGGTTTTCATTGGTATTGGCGGAAAGAAAAAAAGTAGTATACATCGTTTGATTGTAAAGATAACGCTAAGATTTGATGAAAAACAATATACAAGTTTCTTGTGTTCTGATGGGAATAGAGTCATGAATAGTATGGAAATAAAGTCATGAACAAAAAAAAACATCTAATCCCACGCGAGCTATAAAAATTAGCTGAAGATATATGCGTCAAAAGATTAGATTACAGATATAGCAAAGTATTGCTTAACAAAGATGTCAACAAGAGTATTGCCACAATCGCACCCCGGCATACATTTGGAAAAAATCCACCCGCTGAACCTGTCTGCTGTGAAGCGGGACTCGGACTCGCGGTAATGTTACCCGGCAAGGCAGTGGTGGTGACGGTTTGGTTTCCACCAGGAACCACGGCGTTATTGGGTTGGCCTGGAAGAAGACTGATAGTCTGTATAGCAAGACAATTGCTTGAACTTGCTGCCGGATGTGGGTCAGGCGTCTTGGGATCTCCCTGGTGAAATGTGGACGTGTTATTGTAGATGCCTGGAGGCGGAAGCGAGTCTCCGTCACAGGAGTCAAAACCTGTTTGATTATAGTTTCCGGGCATCACCCAGCTGAATGAAACCCAAGGATAAGTCCGATTTGTCAGCGTTAATCACTTGGAAGTCAGGAACTTGAGGCAATCTCACAAGCATCCCATCACGTCGTCTGACACGAACGCCAAACAAGACAATCACAAACACTGGTATCAAAATTTTTGCAATCCCGTCGTGAACAACACATAATTTTCACTCACAGATATGCTGGCAGTACACTGCAAAAGAAGAAGGATAGTGAGAATATGTATCTTTTAGACCCGGTGATTGTGGAAGCAGTAGTTATCATGGTGCTGCACAGAATTTAGGACTTACACCAAGCTTGTGGATCTCCTGGCTTGCAGATTCGAAAACAAAATTCACCGTCCCCCATGAAGCTGAGATTCGGATGATGATGTAAGCCAGTGCCTCTGGTTCAAAGAAGGAAGCACGATAAAAGAGGTTCAAGATACTTACTTCATCCACTCTTTCACCTGCTGAACTTTACCTCCGAAGGCCGTAGTATAGACCAAGCTACCGATGGGATTTCCTAAACTGGTTGCCCCATGCGGGCTGAACACAAAACCCCGTGATGGTATATATAGGCAAGAAGTCGAAGAACCAAAAGTTAACAAAGAGATCAAGTTCACGTACTCCAGCTCTCCACCATCATTAGGTCTTTTGATGTCTAAGGCCGGGCCGTCGATATAACCTGTGATTTGCACATAATGCTGTTACCAAATTTCTCAATACTTTAATCGCAACTCAATTGTGGTAGAGGGGAAAAATGGAAATTCTGCAAAACTGACTGGTGTAGATAGGAAATGAGCACTGATCAATGCTCCTGCGGGGATTTGTCTTGTTCCACGACCAGGCTTTGTGCACCATGCAACCTCGTATTCCTCTGAATCACCAATCTCTTGTTGTCCCGAGGGAGGTGCCCAGAGACAAAAATCATTGAGACTATTCACGTATCTATCAAGTCATACGCCATGGTTTGTGAAAGTTCAATGCTTCAGTACAATAGGTAAGGAGAAGTCCAGATTATGATCAAGGCCAATATTATACGGGTAAAGGACTACAAAAAACAAGGATGGTAGAGCTGAAGACTTACAAAGTCTGGCAGTTGGAATCTTGTGAGGAATTTTTGCCGCATTGATTATATCCAAACTGACCCGGTTCTGTCTGGTTCGGAACTCGGGAGGGGTTTGGCCAATTGGGTTTACCACGCGTGCTGACTTCTGACACCCATAGTGTTGCGACGAAGAAGCTGATGACTAAAGAGGTGAAAGGCCAGGTGACCCACATGATAAGCTAGTATCTGTGCAATTAGTCAACGCTGGGTGAGTGAGTGACCGAGAAGACTAGAGAATCGAGATTGTCACGTTGAAAACAAGAAGAAAAATTAAGGAGGTAAATTATATCACACTGGTTGAATGAGATGTAGAGTGGGGCAAGTGTCGAACACAGGAGGGTACGTATAGATATGACGATCATACCCGGTTAAGGTGAGGCCAAATATAGATAATTATGGATTGTCTAGTATTGTCATCGGTGCAGTCACCTGGGTTCTTTCTTCAAGAAAAGGCGGGGAAAAGATTGAATACTCAAGCTCAGCATCCCCAAACACTTATCTTTTCAAGGCAAGCTACGGTCGGACTCATGACACGCAACGACGCGAGGTGGGACAAGTGACGAGCGGAGGGTACTTGAAGACCATCAAAACATAACAATGTTCTGTTAATGATTCACAATGGAAGGCTCCGGGGTCGGCTTGATATAGGTGGATGATCGGATACTCAGGCTCAGCATTTGCGATCACTGAGCAGCAGGCAGATAGGGCAAATACAACATAGCGGAAGGTCTTGCAGTCTGACTTTGTTGCAGCACTCGACGGATTAACACAGAACCTCACAAAACCCTGATGTGTTTTTCTATCTTGATATAAATTGTAGGCTCAAGGTACCTTATCAGGAACCAAACTTTTGTATATCACGTTGATACTCTGGTTAATCGACAAATAACTAAATGCTAATTGACCATATCAATATCATGAAAAGCAGGATTTTGTACATGTGTTGTCTTCGGTTTGGAAGGTCAACGTATGCCTTTGTATGTCATTTACAGCTTACATTCAAATCACTAATCTCCCTAATGATATCATATATCTCGGTTCACAATAGATTTCAAAACTAATTGAAAACCCGTTTCATCAAATCGAACAAAATTTGTCAATTCTTTCGATGCGAGAATAAAGAAATCAAGATGATTCGCTTTGTGGAAAAATTCTATACTTTGAGGAAGCGACAAAAGATAGAACAGAGCTGGAATGGATCATCTAATAAAAGAATGTAGCGGTAAACAAATTTGTAAAACTCAAACGAATCAAATCAAATCGATTTACCCACCTTTGAAAACTCGCGAGATTGGTGATGATCATTTTTCCTTTGTATTCAGATCTAGGATTTACTACGGTAAACCCTCATATTATGACCTATATACCTGAAGAATTGAAGTTTCTGCGGGCAACCTACTCCTGGTGATCGGGTCTCCAGAGTTCGTATCACAAGAACCGTGCAATGAAGTTAGAACTTGTGCTTCCATTTCAATACTTGCGGATATGCTATATAAATTTTCACTTTGTTCCAATGTTTAAGATTATGGCTGAGGTTGTCTTTCAATTTGTTGTGGCAGCATGGCACAGCATAACCCAATGTAGTACAAAAAAACAAGATTGTGGATATATGTTTCAAGGGTATTCAAGAGATATTTTTGGCCACTGTGAAGTAAAGTTGAAGGATCCAGAAAGTTCATGAAAAACTATGAAAGGATTTGAAAGGGATTTAGACACAAGAAACTATATAGACAACGTAGGTTCAATATAAGATCACCTCAAAACTTTTCATAACCAAATGAAAAAGCTCACACTTCATTACACTGTTGCTGTGATTTCAATTAACCAATTACAAGCAAGAGAAGTAGGTCTAATGAATTCAGGATCTTCAGGAATCTTCACCCTACCAGCCTACATACAAATCAAAAATTGATCATTAGTGTCTTGACTGAAGTTTTAAAAATGGTGATTTGGTTTGATTGGTCTCTTACTGTTGAATTATTAATACATTTGGTGATTAAGAAATCCATGCCTCCTCTTTCTCCTCCCATTTCTTTTAAGAATTCACTTTTTGCATCTCGTAAGTATTGTTTGCGACTTTGATTTTTTTTTGTATCATCAAAAGAATGTAAAAAAAGATTGATAAGTTAATATTAAAAGATAAGTTTTCTTTGGGTTTTCAACTTACGTTTTCAACCCCCTTCAACTGTTGAAAGAGCGACCTATGTATGATCAAGATATAAGATAGTTTAATAGATATCAGTCTGGTTGAGTATGTTAGTTTTTTTCAATATCAATCGAACAACTCACAGAACAAGTACCATGACTTTTTACATCAGACTCCTCTGTAAAGGGTTTGGTATAAGTATAAACCTCGGAATTCTCAAAGAATTGATCTAGTGCACTACGTAATAAGTAGGAAGAAAGATAAGTTTTTACTGGGATATTGTGGGTTTCAGATATATATGCTTTACCAAAGACAATCATTTGGATTAATGTTAACGGATTTCAGGTTATAGCAAGCTGGATCTCCCCATCCTCTATAACCAGAAACTAGGCTAACAAGAAAGATTTCGATCGCGATGATACCAATAGACTTAACAGATATCATAACTAGCTGAAAGAAAAATCTGTTGCTGATTTTTGGAAAGGATTACGATGATCTTTGATTTTTTTTTAGTTTTGATATGTAAGACGAAAATTTATGAAAGATTTGAATGAGACTGATTGGAAATTTCAAGAAACTATTGATCGAATGGAGTGGCAGAAATATGATTATTTATTTTCATATCAGCAGATTCTTGTTTGACCCTACGATCTTGAACTTAAAGCAAAATGCAAAGCAAAAAAAATGTTTGGGTCGGTGTGGGTCAAGTTTCAAGCAAGAGATCAACAGTGGGGGCGTGTGAGAAGAACACGAGCCGCGTTTGACTGATCAGCTTTCGCGAATCGCAGGTGGGCGCGGTGTAAGTAGAAGACGCGCATGAGAGCGCGTCTGGTGGGGGCGTTTGAGGCGCACCCTAGTGAGGTCGATCATTGTACTTTGTGGGTCAGTTGTAGTTCTGAATCACGCCAGCAAGAAGATGCAAGCAAATTTAAAGATACAAACTAACCAACACCATTCTCACACTTTACCAACTTCCATTAACCATCGACTTCAATACTTTCAATCTCAATCACCAAACCAATCACATCCTCAATCACATTCAAAATCATCTCAACCCTTATCAATAATAGCTTCAGATTTATCCTACAAACAATCCAATTCACATTCTCAATCTATCGCAATCGCTTCAAGATCCGAACTCAAAATCTTAAACTGTTCTCAACTCTCATCCCATCCTCATTCACAATCTCAATCGATCAAATCATCTAAATCATCTAATTCATCAAAACTTATTTCCATTCAAGAATCTTTTCATCTTAATTTAAATTCGCTACTAGGTCCTCATTACGGTATATCTAATTTAAATTTCGGATACTCTAGATCCATCGATCATTTGGCTTCGGCTACTACAAATGGTGCTATCTTAATATGGGATTTGAATTCATTTTCTTCAACTCAACTTCAACCTTTAATTAAAATCGATCATGCTCATTCTCGTGCGATTAATAAAATCACCTTTGCTAGTCCGATTGGTCATTGGATCGTCACTGGATCTCAAGATGGACTGATCAAACTTTGGGTAAGTGTTTTTAAAAAAACCCTTGGAGAAGTCTTTCAATTGATCAAGGTTTTTGATTTTTTTTGGGGTGTCAAGTAGGATATCAGAATTAATAATGCTTTACCTCAAGTGGTCATTACGACCCATTCAGATCCAGTTAGACAACTAAGGTGAATCCAATCAAAACATAATCCAACTCCAAACCTCCTGATACTGATTCTTGCAAGTGTAATCCAGATTTCATCCAAACCGAAGTTCCGATCCGTTTACGTTCATGTCCTTGACCGATTCAGGTACATTATCACACTACGATCTACGAAACGGATCAACCAAAAGTTGTATGAACAGAAGAGTAGCTCATGGATCAGTAGGTTTAGGCTTAGACTGGAAACAAACCTCGACAGAAAACTTGATTGCAAGCTCAGGCACAGATGGAATTGTAAAGATCTGGAGTATAGGGCACGATAAAGTTTTGGGATCCTCTGCCATGAAAACCTTGGTGGTGGGAAGATCTCTTAAGGATGTGGTGTGGAGACCGGGTGATGGGTTTGAGTTGGTGATCAGCCCAACTGATTCGGTGATGTCGGATCCTTTGATGATTAGATCTTCTAATTCTAATTCGAATTCTTCAAGTTCTATTCATCATTCTTCTAATGCTTTTTTGGTCGATCAAACGGCTTCGGAATCGTTTGATGGAGGTAGACAGTCAGAGGTTTTGGTTTGGGATATTAGACGGGAAAGAAGACCGGAGTTTGTTTTGAAAGGTCAAGATGGATCAGCTTCAGGTAAACGTATTTAACCCCCCAAAAATTCGATTTTGAAAACTGATGACTTGAAGTTTGAAAATTTGGAAAATTTGTTTAGGTTTGATGTGGTTCAATTCGAAGTTATTAATTACGACTCATAAAAGGACTGGAACGATTGTACAACATGATCTTTCAAAACCATATCCTAAATTCTTTGATCAATTATTACCTATTCAAGCTTTATCTATCTCACCAACCCAACCCATGATATGTTTTTCAATCGGATCAACAGATCAAACCCAGTAAGTCTAACCTCTTACCCAGTCCAAGAAAAAAACGAAAATATAATCTAATGGTTTGAGACTTGTTTTTTTTTGGGGGCGCGATAGGATTTCAGGAATTAAAGTTCAAGGAATTCAAAACTTGAGTGTGGCAGAAGAATTTAATTATTTAGCACAACATTATAAGTTTTATGGAATGGAATTTAAGGAGTTGTGTAGGTTTAATTCAAAAGTTGCTTTAGATTGTCAACTTTTTAAGGGGGCTGAGATATGGGAAAATCTTGGGATTTGGTTTGATAAAGAAGAAACAGAAGAATCAGTAGAAGGAAAAGGAGAAGGAAAAGAGGAAGAAGGGGAGGGAGAAGAAGGATTTAAGAGTCCGATGGATTTGGAAAAAGGTAAGTTTAAATGTAAACCAAGATGGGTAAAAGAAGCAGAAGAAAGTAAATTAAAAGATATGATGAAAGAAACGATTCTGAAGGAAATCAAAGAAGAAATTGAAATCCATGGAAACCTTCAATTAGGGTTCATGGTCTTGAGTGTTTTGTATTTGAATTCATTGATTGATTTTTCAGATCCATTCAACAAGTTGGTTTCTAAAGAATATTTTTGTAGGATTGTTGCGGGTTATTTGAGATTGATTAAATTGATTTGTGGAGATGGGATTGGAAGGATTGGTAAGGAAGGGAAGAGGTTTGGGTCTAAAGAGGTGCTTAGGTGTGAGATTAGAAAAAAGTTTAGTTTTAAAGAAACTGAAGAGATTGGATTAGTTAAGTTTAACACGATTCTGAAAAACTAAAAAAACCTCATTCCATCTTTGATTTTTTCTTCAACCAACCCTCCCCCAAATAAATACTGATATGATTCTTGTTTGATTTTTTTTGATTGATTTAGATGATTTTAAAACAAAACTTAAATTGTGGAAATTGTAATAAACGATTAAATTTAGGAAACGGATTTGAAGATCAATTGATCCGACGAATGATGAGTCATCCATCCTTGAATGGGTTAGTTGGAAACTCATCTCTTACGAAAAAGAAATCGTTGGTTCATAACCGATGTACGAATTGTTTAAAACCTTTTTTATTGTGTTCTTTTTGGTATGTTTTTTTTCTTTTCTTTAAAGTACTGATGATGGAACTGATGATTTGGGGTTTGGGGATCGATAGTCATTTGGTGGTGAAGGATGAACCGTTTAGGTTTTGTGGAAAGTGTGGACATGGGATTCATGGGAAGTGTTTGGAGGTGTATCGTAAGGAGATTAGAAGGTTTGATGGTCTTGAGGATAGTGAGGATGGGAAAGGGAAGCGGATGGTTGAGTGTTTGACTGGGTGTGGACATTTGGATTGTTTGAAGGTTTGATTGGAATGTAAGAATGGAATGTTGATGTTGAAGTTGGGTTGTGGTTGTACTTGTTTTTTTGGATTTGTGGTTTGGTGTAATATAGGGATCCTTTGTTGAGAGAAAAAATAGTGATTGGTGTTGAAGAATGAGAGTAAATAAAAAATTCAAAGTCTTGGTTTTGGTCCTTGGATATTTGATTGGGATGCAGATGAGTCTTGATGAGTGGGTCGTTCTACATACTGGTTCATGAGGTCAACCTGTCTATAGCCATGAATCAAAACACATGAAACTTTGAAATTAATTTGAATACAAGAAGTGTTGATGAAACTGAACTAAAAAGTTGCAAAAAAGAAAGAACATGAAAGAAACAGAAGAAGACGACAATCAAGAATTAGAAACAGAATTAAAATCATTATCAATCAAACCAAACGATCATCAAAAGATATCAAATTCAATTCGATCCATCAAACTCAATCCAAATTTATATTCAAAAGCATTACTCACATCACTTCAAGAATTAGAAAGAAAACTAGAAAATCAAACAAATGAAATTTTAAAGAATTGTGAAAAAGTTTTGGAATGCGTTGAAGTTGATTTGACTATAAAGGATGATTTGGATTATCAACTTAGGTTAAAGTCATTGGTATGCTTGATTGATGGATTACTTGAGTTATTCGGTTTATGGTTCGATGATCAGAATGGATTTGGATTGGATCAAGAGATTAGAGTGATGTTGGTTTTTAAACTTGGGGTTTGGTATAGTTTTGAAGAAAATCAAGAGCTTTGGAAAATCGATGAAGTTACTCGTCAACTTTTAAAAAGTAAACTATCGATTTAATTCTTGAATGAAATCTTTTTGACTTATGTCGGTTTTCTTTGTTATAGATACGATTGATAAGCTTTGGAAGGAAGGAAGAAATGAAAAAGAAGTTCAAGATTCAAGTGTTGAGATTGGTCGAAAGATTCTTTTGAAATATATTAAACCTATCTTTAATGAACTTGATGAACCAAGAGTTTCTAAACAAATCAATTTAAGAACAGGTCGAAAGAAACCAATTAGATCAAATGGATTTCAAGATGAATTGTTTGGATCCAATGCTGGGATTGGAAATACACCAAAGTTTAAGTCTCATGAGTTTTGGGGGTTTTGGAATTCGATTTGTTTGGTTATCAATCGTTTCTCATCTGTCTTGAGTTTGGATTTCTTTTTTCTAAACATATTTCCAAAGAAAAAAACATTCAACTAAATTGATTTTTTTGGTTTTTTTGGGGGAATCAGATTAAAGAATTCGAATCGATTTGGGATTTATTGATTCCTCCAATCTTTAATTTATTAGAAGATTATGAACCAACTTATAAGTTAAAAGGTTTGATTATCTCTTCTGAATTACTTCAAAACGTTCCAATCCAATTATTATCTCGTACTGGAATAGACTCAGTTCTACAAAATGTAAGTTGATCAATCCAAATCAAATCAAAAAAAGCAAAAAAACCCAAGCTGATTAATTCTATATTACGATGATAGTCATTCAACCAACTTTATTCTTCACTAAAGGTCTCAGAATCGTATCAAATCTTAACCATCACACTAAGAAATCATTTAAACTTAATCCAATTACTTCACCAACACTCGATCATAGATCGAGCAACTCATTACAATTCACTCACCGATCTGTTCAGTAAATCAATCGCAACTCCAATCCATTACAACCAGTCTTTCAATGAGCCTGAAACCCATAAGTTCATTCTCGAAAGTTTAGAAACCTTTGTTGGTTTACTTGGGATCAGTTTCTTACGGTTTCATCAGTTGGTGTTACCTTATTTGATGAATGTGTTGACCAACTTTAAGGTTTGTTTACTCGAGCTTAGGTGTATTGGGATTGGGTTAAGGGTTTTGAATAGGGTTGTGGAGTTTGAGTTGGTTAGGGATTGGAAGATTAGGATCGGATTGGTTTGTTTGGTTTCTTGGATTGAATTTAAACAAGTTTATAAAAGTAAGCTATCTTTCTTTTTCAAAGTTTTGGTTAAAAAAATCTGATCTGATCGATGGGTTTTTTTTGGGAAATATAACTACTGGAAGAAAAAGTAACCGAAGTTGAAATTCATCAAATCAAATCGGTTTATTCTTTAGTTGTGAAGAAATGTTTGGTTAAAGAAATTGATGATCAAACCGATCATCAGAAAAAGAAACCGTTTAGATTGATAGATGAGATTTTAATGATTGATGAATCTTTAATGGAACTTTTCTTATGATGAAGAAGATCAATCATAACTTTTCAGATCGTCTTTCAAATTTTCTTGGGTTGATGGATTTTTTTTTGTAAAAATGTAGCTTGCAAAGTGTACAATGAAGTGGAATGGGAGATCAAAGTATTGTTGTACAACTGATTATACTGATCAATGCTTTAAACAGAGTCATTTTGGTCCTAGGATATTTCAAGACACCTATGATGATGATTTGCATGCCATTGCCTGCATTCAAGTCAATCAAATCATTATCTCGTGCAAGCGCGCGTGCCAGCATTGTTCCAGGGACTGCTGATCTGACCCGGTTCATCCATATCACTGCGGTGCTGGATCTCGATCTGGGGGAAAACTGTTCTTACCAATGACGACAAATGTGGCACACGAGCTCAAGCGGAACACCCCCAATGGGTTTCAGTTTGACCGCTCTTTACACTTGAACAGCTTGAACAGCTTGAAGCTTGAGCTGTGTTGTTGAGCAAATACATGCATGTTTTGATTGGCTTGGTCTTGGTCTTGGTCCTGACTCTATCAACGTTGATCAGAAGTCGGTCACCCTGGAGCCTTTGTAGTTTCCATGGTATATATATATACCCCGCAAAACTTATTCGAGAGCCATCATGGTCACGGGCACATGGACAGATTGACCATCGTGCGGGGTATAAATGTGCAGCTTCACAAGAGAATTGTGGGCTCGGTCAGTTCAGTGGCTACCTTGTGCTGTAATTGTATTTCATGAGAGGTCTATGTTTCCCTTGGTCTCTTCACTCTGATGATGAATGAATGTACATCATCGAGACTCAAAGATTCAAACCACATCCGCCCTCATCCTCCCGCAACGTGCGCTCAAGATTAAATCAAGATCGATCGTAAGAATCTTGTACTTTCACGAGAAGGTAGCCATCAGGATCTCAGCTACTGTGAAACGTTTAATCATCTTTAGTTAATGACTCTACAGTTGTCGAATCCATTAAAAGTCATCTCAACGATCGAATCCATTAAAAGTATTCTTGACGATCATTGACTCCCATCGTCATGATCTTGGACTAGGAAACCGGCTTGTGCGGCGTGCTACTGCTCAAGTGTCTGGTACATGACGTGATCTGATTTTGAGGATATATAAACCCACCTTTAATGCTAATGGTCATCCAATCTCCAAACCAATCCATTCAAACTCGTAGTTCCATTCATACTTCCTAAAGAAAAAAAAACTTGATTCTTATCACCAAACCAATTTATTGGAAATCCAAAGAAAAATGGCAGCTTTAAAAACCATTGTTTTGTTCTTCATGATGACTAGTACTACTTTTGTCATTGCTCTTCCTGTTCAGTAAGCTCCTTTATTTTGATCCTTTTTTGTTTTTCCTCCCCCCTTCCTCCCACAAAGAGTCTTATCTTGAGAGTTGTTAATGATCTTTGATTTCTTTTATGAACTTTTATGTATAGTTCAATGGAAACTGTGACTGATACTTCTGAGGATCCAGCATTCGGTGCATAAGTTTTCAATGGACTATGTAAGTCTTCCCATCACTTCTTTTCTATAACACTTTTAGATATAGTCTAATGTTTTGAAAATTTGGATATCTTTAGTGAGATCTTATGACTTATATTCTGGGATTCTAAAGCCTAACAATGGACCTGGTTAGCTTAGAATCCTAGAGGTGTATTGTCTTACCGTTTTTCTACTTTGATCAACTCAAAATCAAATCGGCTTGAAAAAAACTTCTCGTATGCAATTTTTGCATACAATACTTTTCTTTTTTTGGTTTATCATCAAGTTTGTAATTTTAAGATCAAATTAAGAAATCACTTTTTTTTTGAAAGGACAACCAAAACGTGTTGAAGACTTTGATGGAATGTATGTGGTAATATAGATTAGTAGAACGGACAAAACTTTTTTTTTTTTTGAATTTTTTTGTAATTGGAGATCATTTTTTGAGAAAATACACGATTTGAAAAAAAAGATACTTCTTTGAATGATGATTGATCAAAAAGTTGAAAGAAAAATCTTGGATTGAGATTGGGATTTGTAAGTTCTTGTTCTATGAGATTGGGATAAAGAAGGACTGCATAAGCATATTTGAGGAATAATGTGCTTGGATAGATTGGTTTGTAAGATGTTTCTGATGAATTTGAGAAACTACTTTTAGGGAAATGAATTTGTAAAGATCAGTGATTAGGATAAAAACCCTTCTTTACTTTGTTTCCTTTGGCTCTAAAATCTAAGCAAGTTATCAGATCCTGAGGTCCCATGAGTCACTTTCAGGCAATGATTTCACGAATGATTCTCTAGAATTTACTTTTTCCTTTCTGATGAAGATTCTGAATGAGAATGGCCTGTTAGTTCTAGATGTTGTACATATATATATTCATATTCTAACCATATTCACTCTGGAAGATGAACCCCCCAAAAACAATATATACATAGGTGATCTTCTTTCTTGATGACTGCTTGAGGCTGTGAATCAGTATGAGCTCTGTGTACCAAAGTCTCCCCTCAATGAGATTCAAAAATTTCAGAGCTTAGGTGTTTTAAGAAGGACCCACTATTCAGCCTTCTGATGTAAATTCCAATGTTTTGATCCCACAAGTCTGGTTAAGTCACAAAAAAACTCAAGAGTCCAATGTTTTACATCATAAAGCTCCCTGGAAGCATGTTTCTTAAAAGACCTCAAAGCCAAAGGTTTTCATCCAATATTCTGGCCCTGCATGGGCACAAACAGAGGGCTGAGGTATCACTAGACATGTGGGTCAGCTCTCAGAAGAATGAATGAGTATGATTCCTTTGTTTGTTGAAAAACCTTCAGGTTTTTACATAGGATGTGATTTGTTAATGAGTGTAATCAATCAAGAAACAAATTATAGAGGAAGAAAAGATCCAAATCCCTTTGTCTGTATCATATCTGTCTACATATGGTGGATTTGGAAAATGTTTTGTATATTTCATCTTTGTAGACGGCAGTTGTGATGTATGGACAAGATTTAACAAGGTAAGGGCTCTTCCATGACCTCATTGAGCAGTGGCATGTTGACTCTTGGCTGGATCTGAGTATGTAGCTTGTGCTTAAATTGTTTGAAGGTTTAGGTCAAGTGTGATGGTAGAGTGACGGGGGTAATGGTGAAAGCGGTTGAAAGTGGTGAAACATCATGTGGCTTTAAGGGGGTGTGGTTGAAAAGTGATTAAGTAGTCTTAAGCAGTATCTGGACTTAGATCTAACCCAAAATAAACCATTTCAGTCTTAGACCAGGTCAACCACCTGAGTTTTTTTGGCAAATTGGCCCTGAATTAGCCAAAATTTCTACATTTTTGTCCGAAACATGAGAAAAATCATGTGCAAGACATCAGAAGCCTCAATAAGAGCTTTCTGGGTCCTTTCCAAGCTGTTCCAAGAGCTTCAAGTGATATGCCAGGTGGTGACATTGGTGAAAGTAATAGAGCTCAACAGTAGCTAATGGTAGTCAAATCTGTCAAAGTATGTAGTGCAGAAGGTCTCTATTTGAAAAGCTATTTGAAGTTGTACTGTTAGCTTTTAGTCCTTGGTTCCTAACTCTGTATTACATTCTGTTCCTATGGGATCCTATGCTTTCTGTTGCTCTTGCTCAAATTATCTTGGAACTTGTATTGCATTAATTTTCTTCAGATAATTGTTTTTTCTCTCATATCTATCCTCAAAAAGGATCAAAAGAATTGTTGATCCTATTGATAACCCAGAATTTATCAGATCATTTGAATCCCAGTCAAGTAATTTGCAAAGTGCTCAAACACAAGACTCGGAGAATTAACAGAGATGAATACTATTCAAAGAATCTATTTTCTTATTTCTCAATGGTTGTGTTTGGAATTCTGAGATTTTTGAGAAAATTTACCATGAAAAGGTTGGGTTTTTGATAAGTACACTTTGTGTGGGTATTCCAGGGTATCTTCTGCCCGCGACTTGCACCCAAGACCAGCTTAGCCAAGACCAGCTTAGCCAAGACCAGCTTAGCCAAGATCAATTGTAATGAAGCCCAATTCTAACAAGAGATTGGTTATTGGCATCCTGGCTACTGTAAAGTTATTCCCCTTAATACTACCACAAACAAATTTCAAACAACATCACACATAGGTATTGTTATGCACTACTAAATTGTGATCCCATTATGTTACTGTGTGGATGATACATTGCTTGTTTTGTGTCTAGAAGGATTTACTCAAAACTCAATTCTATTAGATTTATGGGTCATAATTCAGGAAAACTTGATGTGCCAATTGTTTTGTGTGAGTCAGCACATACAATAAAATTCCAAGAGTATAAAGGGCCGTCTGATCCATTGTGGTGGCAAAAATATAGGCTGCTTAAGGGTGATTACACAAATATTAGGTTATGGTGTAGTTGGCAGTTGATGGTTAGGCATAAATTCACACATGGTAATGCAAAAGTGGGCTAGCCCAACATCTGAGAGGGCAGCCAGAAGCTGTCCCAAAGCGGGAAGTGACAGACCCAGTATGCTGGGCAGGGCTTCAAATGGGGGCCAAATGGGGGAATTTGTCAATTTGTGGTTATGGCACAATTGGTGCTTCTTGGCCACCGACAGGCAAGCTTTGAAATCATCAAGACTTTCTTGTCTTGCCTTGAAAAATTTGGCCTTGACATATGTGTTCCCTAGCCGCATGATGGCATATCATCCCACATTGTAAATATTTGAATGCAACATCTGGTCCATTCTACTCATGCGCGTTGAGTGAAGGGATGGCTGAGTCAGTTTTAGCCCAAATTTTATTTGTCTAAAACTGCTGCAAGCCCTGCGGGCTATTCTGTGATGAGTGTCCTGCCCGGATACGAGCTCTTCACGTGTGAGTCAAGAGCTCGCGGGTTGGGGTAGTGAAGGTCCCCGTCTCTGGACTTGGTTTTCGTGAACCAAGGGTCCAGGCGGGATTCCTCCATCCCGGGCCCCCCCACCCTCCGTGATAAGCGTGCGTGCATGGGGTACCTCTCTGGTGTGTGTGCCTGGTCACCCTCACTCAGGTGCATGATCTTGCGTCCTGAGCCTATCAGGCACACACCCCTTACGCTTGTCAAGCACCTGTACTCACTTCTTCCCCTTCTGACATCTTCTCGCCACTGTCAATCTTCTCAGGACAAGTGGCGTTCCCATTCAAACTGGCTGAACCTTCTCAGGTATAGGGTTTGTCTCACATGGTCTCAC